TTCGCTTGCTATTTGATGATCGAATTAAAATCTCAGCAGTTCGCAAACTGGTCAACGATAAGCTTGGGTCTCTAGTTCTTCCTCCTTGTGTCATTTGGCACGCACGTAGATCACTTCGCATTGTTTGCGACTCGCAATCCAAGTGTTGCGAACTTATTACACAACCATCATGCCTTTGCACACATGGAGGTGTTACCCTGTGCATATGCAGGGATGCTGTACCCACGGGTACGAGGCCATGTGCATGTCCACTTGCGCGATCTGGAAAATGTTTCTCCTCTATTAATAGCTGTGAACAATGTCCCGAAAGCAGGTAGATCTGATAGATTGACTACTAAGTTGGGCGAGGCAATCGGGGATGCCTTTGCCAATTGGGTCAACGTGAAAGACCAGACTGTTCATTGTTCTAGTGTAGAATTAATTGGATGTTTGATGAAACAAGGAGAGAAGGAGAGGAATTACCTGGATAAGCAGGAGGTTTTCAAGTTGAAGAAGTGGTTGAAAGGCCGTGTTCTTACTCCACTGGACCGTAATCCATGGGAGACTCTCATGTGTCCTTCCTTGTACTATGAAGGGATGATGAACCTGTTCATTCGGAGTACGGGGTACCTACCCGTTGGCAGCGATGTGATGACTATGGTGCGAGAGATGAAGTATGACTTGAAGGAGGTAAATCTCCTTGACTTTGCTCGATGGGACGGAAAGGGGACGATCGGCCAAGCATATGCGATTCCTAAACACAAGGACTTGGACCGATTCCGCCCTGTCTGCCCACCGTATCCGGAACCAACAGCCAGGGCGAGTAAGGTTGTAGCGAAGGCCCTCAATCACCTGTTGTGTACTGCCTCCCTCGCGAGTGGCACTTTAACCTCAAGTCTGTGTCTACGCTGAATGGAACCTTGTGTTACGATCCTGGTCATTTCCAAAGTGCAAATTCACAATGAAAGACAATGTCACCCAATTGCGAAAGAAATGAAAGCACTTGCAAGATTCCCCCTTCTCTCTCCACCTTCCTCCTCCTCCTTCACTTCGCCAATCTTATTCTTCTCCCAACAATAATAATAACAATGAATGGATGAACCAGAATCAATATCCGAAGTTGCCTCTTACTGCTGACTCGACAACAACACAACAACAACAACAAGTCCACCATAGCTATGGCTTCCCTCCTTCAGCCTCCTCTCTCATGCATAGGCTATGGCGGACTAATGAGGGCCCTGCCCTCCTGCCCAAAGGACAACCCAAAGCAGCTATGGCGCTGCACTCCAGTCCAAAGGACAACCCCAAGCAGCTATGCTGCTGCTGACTGGTCCGCCATGCCTGACCCTGCCTCGAGCCTCCTTGGTGCAGCACTACCCCAACTGGGGCCTTCCAGATGCAGCGCCCAACAAGGTGATGAAGACGGTGTTCACCATAGCCAGGTAGGTGCTTCGCCACTCTCCTCCTTCGCCCCCTTCTTCCTCCTCCTCAAGCTGGACCGCTTGCCATAGCCAGGCTGAGCTCCAGCTGCCCTTCACCTCCAAGCAGCGCTGTAGCAGCCAGCGCTGTGCTCCAGCAGCATGTCCCCAATCCTTGCACACCGCAAATGAGGAGGAGCTACTTGCTCCTCCGAAAGATATAGCGGCCTACTGGCCTTCTGGGCGGTGACTTCCTAGGCCGAGCGGCCTCCCAGCAACCGGTACCTCCTCCCTTTCGGAGGGAACATCATTGCAGGCTCTGCTATCCTCCGGACAGGCCCTAGACCCGGGCTACTTGGACTGGTACCGGCCTACCTCTAGCCTACCGCTACTGGGCTTCTAAAAATGCCAACTTTTTGTCTTCTTCTGCTCAGCCTCCAGTACCCGACACTTCTACCACTACTTCAGTGGTACCGGCCTACCTGCTACTTGAGTGTTTTTCCCCTATGCTCTAAGTGCTGCGGGCCTACCCCCGGTACTCGAGTGTTTTCCCCCCTGCAACCCTTCACAGTCGCGGCCACAGGTAAGTACCGGCCCTGCGGGGCCTTTCAACCAACAAGTACCCTTGTGGGTCACACACACACTCAACCGACAAGCACTCAGACAGGCATGCAAACCAGCAGGCACGCACACACACACAGACATGGAAATCAAAGCAGAATGCGGGAATTTCAGCAAGGCATTCATTCCAGCAGCAAATCCCAGAAATCAGCAGTGTTCTCAGTTTGTGTTTTTGGCGGGTCATTACACTTGTCTGCTTTTAATAAGAAGATGAGATGCATGTACACCGACCAGGAAGTGGTCGCGAGATCCTTCGACATTAAGGATACGTTCAGTCGTCTGCCGCATCAGGATATCCTTGATGCGGTGGACTGGCTGCTGGACTATCATTTCTCAAAAAAAAGGTCATTTGTACGAGTGAACTCAAGAGGAAAGGGGGCCAGCTTCGGTGTCACGACTGGCTACGTTCACTGGTTGAGTTTTCCGACATTCAGCAGTTTGTCTCCTTCAAACTCAAGCACACATACACAATAGCATTAGGGGTACTTTTGCGGCAGACGGTGGGTATCCCCATGGGGAAAAGCACAAGCCCACCTTTGGCGTGTATTATGTGCGCCAGAGCCGAATTCTTGTTTCTGCAGAATCTGGGGAAGCTAAGCAGGAAGGTTGTAGGTGTGAGGCTGATTGACGATGTGAGCTTGTTCGTAGCAACGAAAAATCTGGGTGAACAAGACGTTGCCAACATCTTCAATTCTTTTGAAAGATGTTACCTAGACAACCTCAGTCTGAAAAAAACTGACAAGGGATCGGGTAAGTGGGACTTTCTGGGATGCGAGGTCCGAACTCAGAATGTTTTCCCTTTCGTTGAATGTGTGCAAGTGTCCAAAAACGAAGAGTCTATGTGGAAAGAGGAGCGACTGACATTATTTAATGGGCAGTCCTTTCTGTCTTGGGGTAGTAAAGATGCAGAAAAGTGCAGTGTTCGCCAGTCATTTACATGAAATTGACCGAAATACGTCTGCAAGACGCGAGATCCCTCGACGGGTGATCAATTTGAAGAGGGAATCAAGACTGAAAGATGTTCCTGCTGATTTTTTCCTTTGTGTTCTGAAACGATTCACTCGCGGACGTGATGTTCAGTGGAAAATGGTCGTCGAGTTTGTTCAGCAGTAAGCTACGTAGTGACAGGGCCCCTCAAGTTGTGACCATATTTCTGTTACAGGGTATGTCAAGTTCCTTGTTTTGTGTGGTCTGTAGGTGGCAATATGCCCTTGGAGCCCGGGCTATGCTTTCAGTTTGGATTTGACGTTCCGTCCAATGTACCGTGTTGTTTTGTTTCCTCTTGTTTTGACGTAGAGTGTAGGCCCGTAGTTAAGTATAAGCCCCGGGACCCCGGTCTAAGCGGTGTGGAATTGGTAATTGGCTCTATGACTCGTCGGTGGTACTATTAGCCTTTTTCAGCCCAGATTATAGTAACCCCTTGGATTGTAGTGCTTTTTGGCTGACCAAACCCGGGGTAGTCTCTTTTTTTAAGGGAAGCAGGTCAACCACAGGTATAAAAACAATGATTGTAGGCAGGATAGTCCTCTGTCGGCAGATCACGGGCTCTGTGGCTAACGCCTGGTTAGGCCGTGGGTAGTTTGTCGGAACGAACAGTGGTCCACGGGTGTTGTTGAGCGTTTGGGTTGGCCAAATTGTACTTTCTTTCCTCAATCTGTGTTTGCTACCTGTGTGGCGTGATGACTCACTACTCTATGGTGAAACTGCTAACTGACTTGATAACATTAAGAAGATACCCAACTGGTGAACGAGTAGACAGCCCACCAACCGTTGACCTGCTAATCCAAAGACCAAACCACATGAACAATGGAGGGACCTTGTAAAGCAAACACCTGCAGGCTGCCGCGACACGTAAGCTAGTTGGGCTGTTGCAGGCACCACAACGGTATATAGTTCTCATCTCGACTGATTTGTTCTTTTGCAATCGGACTCATTCTCAAACACACTTTTCATGCATGTAAACAGCAGCACAGTAGACTGGCGCCATGCGCCCACTCAAAACTCAGAGATATGGCTTCTGGATACGAGTTCACTCTTAACTGGCTATGGCGACTTCAGCGCCCACACAACTCACTGTTCACACACACACACTGGATCACCCTGGATATCCCACACGCATCACTCTAACACTCGAACACACACACACACTCGCTACTAACTACAGCTATGGCAGCTATCGCTGCCTCTAACCTATCGCTATACTAACTCCTCTCTTGCCCACTGCGTCCTCCGGGCTCATCTGCAGACCTCCTTGCACAAGTCGCTGTGGCAGCGCTTCCGCATGGCTCACGCAGGAATGAATGAAAGGCTGGGCGCTGCCTCTTGATTTATACTTCAGAAACTCGTTGGTCTGCCCTTTGCCATCGGCCCATGGTGCTCACGGTCCCCCCGTGGTACTTGCTGGACCGGACTGGGACTGACTGGACCTTCCGCTGACTGACTGTGGACTCACCGCTATCCTACCGACGTCGTACTGCTATTGCACTGCAGTTGAGTCCACCACTTGCCTCACCACTTGACCACTTGCCCACTTGCATACCTTCTAGAAGGTCTACAGCTAACCTTCCGGAACTCACTAAGACTTCTACGCTATAGACCTACAGATCGAACACCTTCTGCCTATGGACCTACGACAGACCTACCAACTGTCTACGAATACACAGATCACAGGTTCAACTCTCGGGGTCTACACAGATACTGTACATGGGTAGGGTGAGGTCTAGGGATCGAACCCTGGGTACTGCATCCGCTACTGCTAAAAGGTGAAAACCGTTTCACTTTCTTCAGGAGACAGAATTTGAAGACTACCAGCCAGAATTAGATATCGTTTGTGACCTGTGTCTTTCCAATAACTGAATAGTACGCACATGTAACGGTTCAGAATCAGGAGTTCAAATCCTGCCCAATACAACAATGGCAAAAAACAGAGATACTTTGTAATCTGGTTACAGAGCAGGGAAAATGGAGAGACGTCTGCTTCACCTGCTTTTTTCTCGTCTTTGGGGAACTGCATCTTAGAAGATGCTCCACCGCTACATGCGTAGACAAACCCCCGCACACTCTTGTCATACACCTGAAAGATGGACTCCGTTTCCATGAGGAAATGCATGCAGCGAGATAACACATCAACAAATCAAATCACATCAGCTCCAATGGCTGCATGGAAAAACAACTCAGCATCCAGTGTTACCCTTCAGCTCCTATCCGGGTTGATGGAAATGTGAAAATGGTCTGAGATGGCTCAGGCCACCCTCAGAGCACGACTCCTTTTCTTTTCTTTTTTGAACTTCCTGGGGCCTACTGTTGTGAGTGGTATAAGCACCCCCGAACAGTAGGCCTCCCAGGGTGGCCCCAGTCTACTGGCGGGGGGCGGCACAGACTCTATCAAATGCACCCAGCCACAGTTGCAACAACAATTTGTTCATCAATCACATTCCGATCGGCCAATAGTGGCCAGTGAGTGCCTGCAGCAATAAGGTGGCAAGAATCACATGGACAACATTCCACGTAAATGACATAAAAGATCCAACATCCACCACTTCACTCGCCAGTATGCAAACCGACAATCACATGTGCCAAGCTCACAACAGGAAATTTAGTATTTACACTTTGGCGATAGCCATTGTGTCCTTTTGCTCTCTATCACTGCAAAGACCGCCAGTGCGAAGAGAGGAAGTATTTGCCCTTTGGCAATAGCCATTGTGTCCTTTTGCTCTCTATCATTGCAAAGGCCGCCAGTGCGAAGAGAGGATGTAGGTCTAGTAGGGAAGGGGGAAATGGTGGGGATTAGGGGCGGGAAGCAGGTCTAGGAGGGAAGGGGAAAATGGTGGGGATTAGGGGCGGGAAGCAGGTCTAGGAGGGAAGGGGAAAATGGTGGGGATTAGGGGCGAGAAACACACTAATTGCTGAATATCGTCCTTACACCTACAACCAGGTCTAAATAGAAGGGAAGAGAGGGGAGGGGAAGGGGGGAAGAGAGAGAAGGCACTAGCCCTCATTGTTGGACAGCAGAGAGGCGGAAGTAGCCAGTCAGATATCAGGTTAGTCTGTGCATCCACTTCAGTGAAGGTATAAACAAGGTATAGCACTATCTCCTCCAGTGAAGGTATAAACAAGATATAGAGAGTCTCCCCTGAAGTGGATGCACAGACTACACCCGATACCTGACTGGCTACTTCCGCATCCCTATCCCTGCTGTCCAACAATGAGGGCTACTGTCTTAACCCGAAAACAAGATACGTACCTTGTACTCAAGTTACCTCCCAAAAATGGGTTCTTGGAAATCACTATTAAATTTTTGGATAGAAGGTACCCTCGAATACAAGGTATGTACCTTGTATTCAAGGTGTGCCTTGTAACTGTCATGTAACTCTCTCTCTCTCTGTTACATGCTGCACCTGCACACGGGCCCAATTTTGAGGGGCCCGACGGTTGCTGAGGGGCCCCCAGGCTGCATACCATCAGACCTGCGCCCTGGAGGCCCACAGTGGCCCCCAGGGCGCAGATTTCAAATAGAGGCTGCAGTATTTAGTTATTTACTTGCCTCTTGTCCTATTCCTTGTCTGGGCAGACGTCGTTTCGGACTTGCAGGCCCCAAGGAAACGCCTTGGGCCAGGTACAGAGGGACGAGGCCCTTCCAAACCAGGCGCGTTTTGGCGCCTGTCTACTTTCCTTTCAACGGTACCAACGTCGTTTCGGACTGCAGGCACCAAGGCAGCGCCTTGGGCCAGGTACACAGGAACGGGGCCTGACCAAGGCCAGGCGCGTTTTTGCGCCTGCTGCATCAGCAGCACAGTCTGGACACCTGGTAGGGGCCCAGACTGGCTGGGCCGTTTGAGGCCAGCACCAGGCAGACCCAGCCTCGCCCAGCGCTATATATAGCTGGGCAACGGCTCGGTACGGACAGTTCGGGTAGCTCACTTCCCGAGCGACACGCTGCTCGACCAGCGCTGCATCTTAGCGCTGCGCTGAGGAATAGAGGTAGTGGCGTAGGTAGGAGAGAGCGGAGGCCATACCTGCAGACGGCGGACTTACCTGGCGCCATCACTGGGACTCTGTGAGTGACCTGCACAAGACAGCGACAACGTGACAGTCAGTGTACGGTGGCCTTCCGGCAGGTGAGACAGTAGGGAAGACAACCTCTTCCTCCTCTTTCGTCTCCCCTCCATCTCATCTCTCTCTCCTCCCTACTCCCTCTTCATCTGCTTCATCTTCTTCTTCTTCAGATACGAGAGTGAGTGAGGTTACATGCAGAAGATACAGGCAGTGGTTACAGTGGGCATTGCGCCCAGGACCTGGTTCGACATTTCTGAGACACATTGATTGGACATTGGCAAGGGACTATTTTTGGACATCGCCATTGCGATCTTGGTCTTCTCCCTCGCCTCCATCTCCGTCTCACCTCTCCCCCCATCTCACATCTGTGGTATCTCCCCATGTATGTATATAAGGAGGGACCTTTCTTCTTTGTGTGCGGTCCCTCCTCCTCTCACATGTGTGATGTATGATGGGATGTTGTGTCAGTCCCGGTCAGGTCAGGACTTATATCCAAGTCTTCCACTGCGCTATTTTGTGCCATTTCGTATGTATCAGGGCGTACATTGCTTGTTGATGTTTCACTAACATTGCATTGTCCATTCACTGATTTTCATCACATTGCGGATCCTTGGCTGTACATACATTGCCCAACTGGGCATGTATCAGTTGGTATGGGAGCCCAACACGTGAATCAGGACAACCTGATCTGACACGTGTGCGGGGACTATTGATTAGTTGATTGATTGATTAGTCACTAACTGATTGATTGATCATGGACTGATTGATTGATTGATTGATTAGGGCATACGAATTAGTCCCCAAAATCGTGATTTTTTTTTTTTTTTTGACCTAACTGCCAAATCGATTTTTTTTTCCTTTCTGGATTTCGTTTTTTAGCGCTACTTTCGTTTTTCGGGAAATTGCAAAATCCGGAATAGCGCAGCATCTGAAATTTTCGATTTTTGTTTTCCTTTGAAATTCGAATTTTCATTGTTGAGAAATCCGGAGATTTTTTATTTGTATTTTCTTTCACAATTTCCCGTTATTTAGAAAAGTCCGAGAATTTTTTTGGAATTTCCGAAATTCCTTATTTCAAAAATTGAAATTTTACAGGAAATCCCTTTTTGCAGTTACTTTTTTAACAGCGCATACTCTCATGAGTCTCATCTGAGTAATTCCGGAAAAAAAAGTTACTTCCTGAATTCCTTGAACTTGCGGAAATTGTTTTCGCCGTTCTATTATTCTCTATTCATTCGTATTCTTTGTTAATCATTGCAGTCTGAAAATTCGATTTTTTATTATTATTGGTAATTTCGAATTTGAGGGAGATTGGGAGATCTACTGAACTTGCAAACTCGAGATTTTTATTAATATTATTATTATTTTCTCAAAAAAAAAAAAAAGCAAAAGTTCAAACTTTTCTTTTTTTGATTAGTAGCTCCTTATCTGGGCGATTTATCCCCCCCCCCCCTCCCCGCCTATGTTGTTGCCCACTCTGGTCTACTCTTCTTCTTCATCTGATTCCGGGTACCCCTACTGCGGCATGGGTAAGTTGCGACGTCAGCAGGCCATGTCAACAGACCACGTCAGCAGACCATGTCAGCAGACCACATCAGCAGGCCACGTCAGCCGACAACCATGCCACATCAGCAGCCGAGCAGTGCCACGTCAGCAGCAGGGAGTACCACATCAGCAGGCCCCCGGCCTGGTCTATGTCCGCGCGCTTGCAAACAGCCATCATGGACCAGAAGTCCAGGAAAACGGCTGAGGCCTATCAGGCCCAGATGCTGGCTTTGATAACCGAAGCCAACCAACGGACGGATGCGGTAGCAGCCACAGAGAAGAAGAAGGCAGAGGATGCCGAGAAGGCACGTCTGTTGCCGATCGAACAGCAGCGCCAGCACGACGGGGCAGCAGCAAAGGCTGCCGATGAAGGACACAGTCAACGACGGGAGAAGATATTTAGCGAGGAGAGAGCTTTCCTCACGATGGCAATGGCATGGCGGACCGAGGGTGGCGAATTCAGCAACAGCGGACCTCACATCTTGCTGTTGCTCTCCCACCTCACGGACCTGCTGGCAACGTGCATTGCACAACAGGAGGACATCCATTGCCTCAACGACACGGTGAAGAACCAGCAACGGTCGTTGGATCAGGTCAACAGCCGCCTCCAGCAGCTTCAGCAACGACCCGTCGCCGCCCCCGTCGCCAGCTCCTCCAACACTTCTGAGCGCCTCGATGCATTGGAAGTCGATGTCGGTGCACTCAAGGACGGCGTGCAGCTACAGCAAACCGCAACTCAACAACTTGAGCAGCAGATCTGCACTGCCGCCACTCACTCGAGCACGTCACAACGTGAACCGAGTCCGAAGTTCGACGATCAGGAGATCTTCTGCGGCACGACGAAGACGGACCCGATTCCGTGGTTCCGCCAGTTCGAACTCAAGTTGCAGCTGCACCACATCAACGAAGAGAAGCACCACGCCTACTTGCACTCCCGATCGGGGGGCGCCGTGCCGAGCATGGATGGACAACCTCTTGTCTAAGTACGTCGTGGTGGAGGCCGACTTGCATACCGAGATCAGTTGGGATGATCTAAAGTGTTACATGCCCAGTTGGGCGATGTTCATAATAACCGAGGATCCGCAATGTGATAAAAAGGACTGAATGCAGTGCAAGTGGAATCTCAACAAGCAATGCGCATTCCGATACATACAAAATGGTGCTTTATAGCGCAGGGAGGACTTTAGATACAAGTCCTGACCTGACCGGGACGGACCTCTACCACGCAGTGCAAGGCAGCGCAGCAGAATACTAGAATACCAATGACTAGCCCAATCAATGTTGCAACACAGACCAAACATACATCATGATCATCACAAGGTGTGAAGGGGCCTGGCGCTATACACAAGGAGGCGCCAGGTCCAGACATACACAGACGAAGAGGAGGGGATCAGACGAAGAACTGGAAGGGGTAAATGGGAAAGTCGTCAACACCAAGTCTCGTTACAAGTCCCAAATAATCCCTCTTCAAAATGTCTGAACGTCGAGTCTGGATCCAAATGTCACCAAGCTCTCTCTCTCTCTCTCTCTCTCTCTCTCTCTCTCTCTCTCTCTCTCTCTCTCTCTCTCTCTCT